TTTGAATGAGTGAGAGGTCAGCCAGACCAAATTCCTTTGAAATTTTATTGCATGTTGTCAAGGCAACGAAAGCCATAAAGGGGCCCATCACCGCCCAAGACAATTCAATTTGTGTGTGCAAGCAGCGACCTCCAGTGGGCCATCTGCAAATTGCAGTCCAGCCAAAATATAGTTTATCTTTGAGTACAAGCTGTAAGCAAGTGCGACTTCCGCTGAAGAGATTGAAGTATGTTTTTGTTATTTCACTACCTTTTGTTTATGAGTTATTGAAAGAAGGTCAAGCCCTTTGAGAAGTTTCACGTCCAGGCAGGTCACCAGATGGATTCCGAGTTTGGGTGAAAATCCCTTAGGAATGCCAAAACTGGAGAGGAGCTGAGTGAGCCTCAGAAAGGATAACCATTGCCAATAACTCCAAACAGTAGTATTGTAACGCACCCTAGTGGTTAATAAGTGAATTGCACTTGCTTCTACAAAGTATTGCAACATGTTCTAATGACTGACACGTGAATAGCCCCGAGTTTGCAAGCATAGCAACGCACCCCCAAGTGGCCAACAAGTGAATTGAACTCAAAGAATTTAAAGAAATTCTTTGAATTAATCCTGGTCATATAATTATTAAATCTTTCCAGTCATGGCAGTAGGATCAGACTCGCCGAACCCCATGATTGAACCCAATACAGATTCAGTATTAGTTAACCACAGCTCAGATTTAGATGTCCAGCTAGCAGAAAGGTTAGAGGCAACTCAGATATCCTATGACCTAAGGCAGTACAGAAAGCCTACACAGATTAAGTAGTCAAACCTCTTGGAAGAATGGGACAGCTCTATCAAAGGTACGAGAGTTGTTGGGAGAGGTTGTAACATTTCTATGATGAACTTAAAGATGATCTACCAACCGAACGTCTCTGAACCTTAAGTGAGGACATAGACGTATGCTACGCACAAGGGGCAATATATGGAGAATGCCTCTGCAACATCCAGAGTCAACTAAAGGATGATGAAGAAACCCAAGATAAAATGCTGTTCAGATGTTAAAAGAGGATGCGTAGAGCAGTTTCGACAAGGCAAAGACCTTATCCAAACCAGCCTGAGGAGGGAGACTGCCCTGGGCAAGAAGGATGAGTCCAATGTGCCTCATCCTTCGCATGCATCATCTAAGCATCCTCATCTAGTCCCAAGGATACACAAGGAGAGGAGGCCACATCTCTGGTATCTCATCGTTCACACAGGTCACTACGGCAGTCTCACGCAGCTTCCTCCCACATCTCCTGCCTCATCTTTCCGACTAAAATCAATGTAATCTCAAGCGGGTAGCAGTGTCTCACAGCAATCTTCCTGCTACAGTCAAAGGTCACGGGCATCTCTAGTTGCAGAAGCACAAATGGAAGCTGAGTTGGTCAAAGCAGATCTACAAACAGCTAAAGAAGAGCAGCTGCTGAAGGAAGAGATGGCAACCTTGAAAGCCACAGCTCAAGCAGAGATGGCAAGCTTGGAAGCCAGATCTCAAGCAGGGAGAGCAGCTGCAGAAGTAGAGAGGGCGGCTGAGAAAGCTAAAGTTCAGGGTAAAATATCTTCAACGCGAGCAGGAAGCAAAAGGGAGACTAATATGGGCCAAAGCTCTACATGCTGAGGCTAATAGCGGCTTCCCTGACTTTGACCCTGGAAATCTAGAGGAAGAAACCCCTAACACACGTTTGAAAGCTTACATAGACGACCAACGCGCGGCACAACAGGGAGAATCACCAAACCAACAAACTAAGGAGGTGGATCACGTCGTTCAAGTTGCATCACTCGACCCCTCCCTTGGAATGGGAATATTAAAGTTTGAAGAAGTAAATGGATCCTTCTCCCATTTATATACTTTATATAACTTGTATACAGTCATGTCTAGTGAGGTTTATGGCTGGTGAGGCACTAACACAGTGGTGGGTTTCAATTTTTTTTAGACTTGTGGACTTCAATTCCCAGAATTCCACAGCCAGGCATGCTCAATTCCGATTTAAAGCGACAGCATTTGTTTTTCTCCTTTGCGAAAAGTTTCCTTCATTCTTTTTCTTCTCCCTCCTCCTCATTCCTCCCCCTCCCTCTCAAACAGACACACTCACACAGAGAAGTTGGATTGAACTATTTCTCCTACCCCCTTCCCTCTCTCTCTCACTCTCTCTCAAACAAACACAAACACAGAAGTTGGATTGCATATATGCCTCACCTACGTCAGGAATTTTTAGGCTTTTAACCTTTGCTTAACTCTGCTCGAGTGATCATAAAACGCCTAAAGTCAGACTAGATGAGGCACGTCATTCTCCTGCCTCCTGTAGAGGGTGCTTTTTTAGAGGCTTTTTAAAATATTTAAGCAGAGTCATCCACGGCAGCAACTAGCTCAGCCTGACCTCAGCTCTTGCCTTTTTCCTTTTACATTTTTTATTTATTTTCATGATTACAGTGGTGAGGCTCTGCCTCCCCTGCCTCCCCTGCCTGCATGTCCCTGCTTGTATATTGTGTTCGCATTAGTTATTTTTCTACCAAGAACCGATCTGTGTGCATGAGTGGGTAGATGACAGAGAGACACACAGAGAGGAGGGGGTGAGGGAGGGAGGGGAGGGAGAGAAAGACAGACAGACAGACAGAGACAGAGAGACTGTGTGAATGAAGTTTAGCATTACTACTAATAAATTATGGTCTTTTCCTGTGGTTAAATAACTGGCCAAAATATTTGATTATTGCAGGATATAAATGCAATTAATAATTAATTAATTTCAGGATTAGTCTGACTTCAAAGAACAAAGAAGGAAAATTATTGGACCTACTGAACCCTGAATTAAAATGTTCTTAGAAAAACATTTTGAGCAGAACACTTCTTTAGCAGTTGCTTTAAAATAATAAACTGAAATTATGTCTGTTGAACGTTTCAAATTTGAAATTGTTTGTGATCACAATATTCAAGCTCAAATAGATGTGGGTCTTTTGTTTGAATTTTTTGAAAATCAATCATGAAGTGTTTAAAATTTAAGTTGCTCTATTTCAAAAGAAATAGGGTTTTAACATAAAATGAGTATTTTTAAGCTTAGAATATTTCCAGAACCTATATAAAATATTACATAAAATGTTGTGTACATCCTACTGGTTTTATCTAATAATTAATTGTGCATAAATTTCTTAAATTCACCAAACAGAAAAGAGCTGTAGTATTTAACATTTGGAAGCAAAAGCCATGACAATAATGTTTTTATTTAGACATTTTTCAGTTATAGAAATTATGTATATGTAAATACATATATACATACAGACTTTCACACATGGGGAAAAAGAGAATTTATCACAATTTTTTTTCAGGGCCATATAACAATTATCATATTTAGGAAACTATAACAGATCACATGATTGAGAGTACTGTTCAATCATTTATCAATAATCCAGAATAATGTGTTCCACTATACCCATTTATTTCATTGATAAATAATTTGAATTAATAAATTATAGTGTTGCTTGATGCATTGCTGTGAATGTGTTGACCCTGACTAGCAATCATGTATGTAGCTGAAATATGTAAAATTAAATAGATAATTATCAAAGAGAGATGGGGTGAATGAAATTTGCAACAAACACAATATGAATGAAACACAACAAACTATAATCTTTGGAAAATCAGGAATAAAAATGGATATTTTTAAATATATTCATGATCTTGCAAAGAAGTCCACGCTTGAAATGAAATCTATGCTCCTTTACTTAAATATTGGCATGTGCCAATATTTAAGTAATATTCTCAAAACTCTGCTTTAACCTACTACATACTTTAGTGTTGTGGCCCAGCAGGAGTAGTTGAAGCTGCCACTAGATTCCGACAGCAAGGGGCCCTATAAGTTGGCTTTGGGAGATGTGGAGGATGCTGAACAGGGTTCCGACTCCAAGCAGGGCGCAGAGAGGCTGGTTGGCCACCAGGAGGCGCCTGAGACTTGGACCAGTGGGGAGGAGACAAGGGAGTGTGATCTGGACGTCAGCAGTGGGGAGGAGCCAAGGGAGTTGTTCCTAGATGTCCGGCACCAGAGAGCTAATAGGTGTAAGGAACAATTATGCAATTACAGGAAGTAATTACACTCAGCTGGTGGTCATTAGGCTCCTCTCCAGACTATAAAAGGACTGCTTGTGCACACATCCCTTTTGCAGAAGTCAACGCAGGAACAAATGTTGGAGAATATTATTGTGAGCTTGGCAGGCTGGATTGCTGCCATGGCTTATATGTGCTGGATTGCTGCCCAAGCTTGTCTGTGCCGGTTTGCTGCCAAAGACCTGTCTGTCTGTTAATTAAATGCCGTAACTTATCTTTGGCTCGAAGTGTTTGTTGGTATGGGAGGAGGGAGGTCAGAACACTTCAGCATAATAATTTTGGGGCGTACCTTTTTTTTTTTAAAGGTTAAACAAGATTTAAAGAGATTTCTCAGCCATGATGAACAATTTTAGAAATCCCTCTACTGTACGAAGATATTTTTTTTTAGGAACATATAACTATTAATCACATTTTGTTTGGTGCTTTGCTTGCATCTCTTGACTGTTGATTATAGCCTGCAGACACTCCTACCTTCTAGTCTTTGATTTCCTGTGTTGCATATTATCATGAACATTCTTACTACTTGGCCAAGTTTGAATTCATAAGAAAAATAGAGTGCATTACAGTTGTGTTTTATAATAATCAAAGACTGGTTGAAAATTATTTTACAGAAATAAAAAAAAAAACAAATTCTGGATAATATACCTACTATACATGCTGTAGTATATAGTTAAAGAGAGATCTTGCTTAGAAGCATGCAGTATTTGAACTTGGAAAAAACATTAGAAATAATACTACTAAATATACAGAGGTTTGGCTAAATTGAATCTCGACAAACAGAAATTATAATTTAGACATCATCTGGTTGATAAAGGTATTCTGTTAAAATACAGCAAGGGTTCAACTATTGTCCTAGACCATAAAAATATCATGTATGCCTTTCTTCTTGCAGTTTTTGCTTTGTGGAGTATGCGGAATATTCTGTGCCAAAAAAAAGTCAGGACTTATTGTAAGTGTTTTACTAAACTTTTTATCAGTATTCATAAGTGAAATGTAAGCTTTGCATATCGTGACTCTTTATATTTCTTCATTTCAGACTCAAAAAGTTAAATATAAGTTAGAGAGAGATATAAGAATATATATCTAAGTTAGAAAATTAGATATATCTTCATCTAATGAAATGGATACAGTAATTAAAGCCATTATATAAAACAAAGTACTAAGTCTATACTGTTCTTGATTTTGTTCCAGTTTTAGCTTGATAGCAAATACTGGACTGAACATTAGGTGTTTCTGAACTATGAGATAAACTTATAAATTTATTAAGGGCAAAGAAAGACTTATTGAGGCTATGGAATTTCCCAAGTAAGTAAAACTGCTTATAGGTAGTCCTCTAATTACAACAGAAATTGAGCATGGATTTATTTTAAGTTAAAGTTAATTTATTTTAAATTATCTTAAATTAAATGGTTCATCTGATTTTATGTGATTACAGCTGATTTTATGGGTGTTTTTTTTGTAGTGGCCATAAAGCAAATGTACTAGTCATTAAATGAACATGATAATCGTTAAATGAGGCTGTTTTCCCCAATGGGTGGTTTTTTTTTTGAAAGCACAAAAAAATCACAGTCATGTGATGTGGGATGATGCAAATAGCCATAAAAGTGAGCCAATTGCCAGTGGGCTAAAAATGCAATCAGATGACTGAAATCATATTAGAATTCTAAAACAGGTTGTAAATAAATCTGTGAAGGCCCATTATGACTTCAAGTGGTCACTAAAGAATTGGTCATTAAGCAGGGACTACCTATATAGTATATACTCATTGCAACTAGATAGTAGTTGAAATAGAACATAAACATGTGAAAAAGAAATGCAATATTGATGTTGATCGAGGGAGATGTTCAAAAGATGATTTGTATCCTCCTTTACCCTTATTCATCATTCTGCAGGTATTCCACTTCTGGCTCATAAAACAGCAGATCTTTCAAAAGGGTTGTTAATGAAACAGGACTAAGCAAGAGATTTTAGCAAGCATCTAATAGTGGTAGATTTATTCAGTTTCTCTGATTAATCCTTCTTTAATCATTACAGTTCCATATGGCCAGCCAATGCTGCTAATAAAATGTAAGCTATCATTGAAAAAAAAACTACAAGACATTGGAACTGATAGAGGAGCCAGATAAAAAAATATATTTATATATGTGCCCTACTTTCACTTTTCATATCTTCTTCATTTTCAAGTAGTTCAGAATAGAAAATCTACCAAATGTACTTGGTGTTGGTTGCTTTGGTGTTGTATTCCAAATTGCTGTTGGTTAGCTAGTCCAGTATATTATTTGCCTGAGACTTATTGATACTGAACAGCACAGTTCCTAGCATAGGATATGTTTGACCACAAAAATCATTATTTCATCATTATAGCATGTAAAAAATGTATATTTTTCTTGCTATTAAGTTTCCAAACAACAATTCTTATTTACCAGCTTAACATTGAATGGGAATGGGAAACAATGCCATAATGGAAAGGACATGCTTTAATCAGTCCATATTTTGTAAGTTAGCATTAAAACAATGACACTCAATTTTCTTAACTGAAACAAAAGAAATATAGTAAATAGATGTAGTCATTGAAAGGTTTGCAGCTACTATTCTTATTGTTCAAATGTATTTTTATCAACATGTTTGATTGATTTTTTTGATGTGACGATTGAGTTCAAATTAATATATAACTCAGTTGTTTTCTCCATCTTATCATCTCACAGAAATGTGAATTTTTTTCCCCTATCAGATGATACTTTTCTCTGCTTGCTGTATCTGTGGGTTAATTGGAGGAATATTAAACTTCCAGTTTCTTCGAGCTCTAACAAAGAAATCCTCAGCTCTCTATCCACTGTACCTTACCTCTATGTCTCTAGCATGCATTGGAATTGGTGGTTGTACCCTTTCTTCATGGCTAACTTGCCGACTAGCCAGCTATGAACAAAGAAGAATGTTTTCAGAAAGAGAACATTCATTGCATCACTCTCATGAAATGGCTGAAAAAGTAAGTTCACGGTTTTTTTATTTGTTATGCTTTTTTAAAAAAAATCTATAATATACAGTCCGCCTTACATGAAAATTCTCTGATCGATTTGTAAGTCACTGGAAAATAATGCACATCTATGTAATATCAACTATATTACAATTTGAAACATTACACTTATATATTCCAGCTTTTCCAGTAGTCTCATTTCAATAAAATGCATCCACTAACTACACAGCTCCATTGTGTAACTATAATGCTTTGCACTAAACATAGAGCTCCTTAGAGCTAAATAAGCTAATGGCTGCGTAATTGTATATCTGTTTCACTTCCTGCATGAAAATATATTTTATAGTCAGTAGAGCTGGAGCTTACCAAAGATTAAGATCATGTGTAGGAGGACAAGCAACACAACCTGCAGCTTCATACAATGAACATGCCATTGGATTGTACCACTTTAGATTGCTGATGGGAGAGCAAATAATTATATGTCTCCTGATTAGTTCTTGGGCAGGATTTGGCAATCTACCTTTAATATAGCTAAGGATACAGAGCTATTTTGAAAAAAAAAAAGAAGACAAATTGTCAACTCTTAAGCTTAGCAGGTATTTCAAATACCTATTTTTCTCATGCTTTTATTGGAAACTTGTGTATGTATGAGACCTGAAACATTCAGTTTACTAAATGCCTACATTTTGCTGCTGAATCTCAGAAAAATTATCTGAAGGAAGTCTGAGGCTGTCTACAGATTGTGTGCTGCCCATCCTTGCCCTACTGAGGAAAGAGTAGGATGTTAGTTTGGAAGCTAAAAAGTGTTGTGTTGAACAGGAAGTCCAACTTTGTCTAATACTAATATGCACCAAAACATATGGAAATGATTGTGCTTTATTTATAATTTATTTTGTATTAGAGATTAAGGGGTATTGAAATAATCGACCTGCCCAGCTGTCCAGTGATACCCCCAACACCAGAATTACCTCCAAGGTATGCTGAATTCTAGGGAATTATGATGAATTAAAAATGTTGCTTTTAACAGAAACACATAAACTAATCTTTCTTTATGCTTTTAAAGAAAATTCTTAACTTAATGATTATTCACAGAAATCTTCATCCATATTATACGAAAGACTTTATTAAAATCTATGTAGAATAATGCTAGAGTAGGAGGCTTGTCATCGATATATTGAATATACAAATAGCTTGTTTACACATATGCAAACACACATATATACTGTATACCCTCTCTTTTTACATACAGTATATTACTTTTCTAATCAACCTGTTGTCTTAGCTTCATACACATTGCACTACCACTATGAAATATGTTCTTTGCTTACATAATTATTATACTTCTTCAATTATTCCATTTTACACTTGGGCTATATAACTCTGTCCCTGTTGTTTGACTGACCAAGGTCAACCAGTTTATTTATTTATTTGCATACACACAATTGCATATTTATTTGCATATATACATACAGAGGTAGATATTTTTTAAGAAAATATATCTATTTTGTATGAAAATCATAAAATGGAAGAGGGAAAAGCTTGAAGAACAAGAGGAAGAGGCACTGCCAAGGGGCAATAAAAGGTGCTTATGCGCGGAAATTTGAGAAAATGTCTCAAATAGCCTCTTCCTAGTTCACACAAAAATAAAGAGGAAGGGGCAAGCATATTCAACTTGCAAATTTTGTGGCCCTAGTTGTTATAATAAAATAGTCCTAAACCAACCTAAATGGCATTGGTTTCTTAATTTGGACTACTTTGTACAGCTAACGCTCTTCAAGTAAACAAGCACCATTGTTTTATATATTGAGACAGAGACTTGGGTGAGTCCTGAACTTATTTTATGAGACTGACTTGCATTATATCTATCCACTGTTTCAAAACTAAAGAAGGTGAATTTATGCATCTAACTCTGTTTCACAGCAGACAGGTGTCTATATCACCACACCCTCACCTCAATCAACATTATCTGGCACCTTATCTGGAAATCCCAGCTGAGTCCAAGGTATGGGCATTGGAAAATGTTCTAACATCATCTCTTTTGTCAATGAACATTTGGTCCATTTCCTTAGGTTGAGATAAAAATGGAGATGGGATAAACATACAGGAAAAATAGTTTATGGCAACCATTTCAGATGGTGCTTCTCACAGGAAAAAAACATTTTCCTACATGTGCTGCTAGTTAGGAATATTAGTTGGCGTATGAATAACAGTTGTGGACAAGTGTAACACAGCCAGGAAAGGAATCCTGCCAGGAAAGATTCAAGATCTAGGTGTGGCTGGGTCCACTTTGAAAAGAAGATGAAATATAAATAAAAGCTGAAGTGAGAGGTAACCCAAGAATTAAAAAAAACCACCCATAAATGTCTCAATCGATGAATAAGTCAAGATCAATAAGCCTATTTTACTTCAATGTCACTTGCAGGCAATCAAGGATATCTTCATTTTAATATCTAGCACATATATTAATTAATATATGTGCTAGAATGTCTAAGGTCAGTTTGTGAAAAAGATTGTGCTCTGCATACTTTATAATTTTCTGGCTGAAGCATGGCTTTCACTAATCTTTCATATTTTTGTTATGTTACATCATATCCTAGATATGTAAGCTATAGCTAGCTCAACGTTGGCCCTATAAGCAACCTGAGTCTTTACAACTGAATAAGGCCAAAGCTTTCCCCAATAATACAATTTATCACATTGTATATCAGTTTATTTATATAGATTCATTCTTTTGTGTGGAAAATGATCCTTGAAAGTAGTGCTTACATGGGCCAGATGTTGGCTACAAAGGTGTGCTATTTAAATCTGGGCTAGGTTATTGCAGTATAACTGACTTTGATTACCCATTTCAATTCTCACAGGAAGTGACAGATAACATGTGTAATGGAGGACCACATCTAATTTATAATGGAAGAGCATACTGAAATATTTACAATGTTTAAAGAACAACTATGTTTAGGATTTTCTTGAAGAAGAAAACTCAGAAGCCAACAGCTTAGAGACAAGGTCCTAAAACATTATGGCTCTAACTTGCAATAATTTCGCAACTTCAAAACAACAACAGCACAGTCACATTTTCTTTCAGAGATTTGCTTTGATTCCCATTAACTGAAGTTATATAATTGCACATTACTATTTGTAATGTTGGAAGATAACTATTTGTAAAATTGGAAGATATTTGGAAGATAAGTATTATCACATTTGATTTTTTTTCCTGAGTAATTTTTAATGGCTGTGATAATATATGAAACTTACTTTTCAGATTTTACTGATTTTTTTTAGGAATTACTTTTTGATTTGATTTCACCACTATAAAAAAAAAGAGGGTTTAAATATTGGATTGCAAGCTAACAGGAAAAGAATTTGGACATGAAAATGTTGTCTTTCCTATGCAGAGTGTAATGAATGAATTATGAGAATGCTATTCTCCGCACCACTGTCTGTGTTTTGAAAAGTTTTGGGAAGTTTTAAGGATACTATGAGGTCAAACAATATTTTGCTGTAAAAAATGTACATTTTTCCAATTTATGGTATATTTCCTAATTTGTTCATAAAAGATGTGAAATAAAATGAAACATAGGAATGGGATTATTTTTTTAATCATCCTAACAATTTTTACAATGATCTACAAATCCAAGTGAGATACAAGGGAGCGTTATAATTCTCCACCAAATTTAAGGCAAGTGTTCAGAAAACGTTCAGACCTTCTTTATTTAACTACAGCTCATATAATATATTCTTGTTGTTTTACCACATTTGCATCTTTTAGCAGATGAAAGTTTGTTATCAATATTATGCATTAGAAATAAACATAACAATCTGTTATTATATAATATTAATAATACTAATACCCCATTTCCCCAGAAATAAGATCTCCCTGCATAATAAGCCCAATCAGGCTTTTGAGCACATGCGTTAAAATAAGTCCTTTCCCCAAAATAAGCCTCCCCGAAAATATTGCAACAGCAGCAGCAGCCATGAGGTGATCATGCTCACTGTCTCCTGCACCTCAAAAATAATAAGACCTGCCCAAAAATAAGGCCAAGCGCTTATTTTGGGGGTCAAAAGAAAATAAGACCCTGTCTTATTTTGGGGAAAACACGGTAGCACTATAACGTCTCCCATAGTCAACTGATATACGCNGATGGAAGGCTGAGTCAACCTTGACCCGGTGAGATTTGAGCTGAAGTGGCCTGCAGTACTGCACCCTAACCACTGCGCCACCTCGGCTCCTTAATTAGGAGCCTCCTTAATACTTTACATTTAGATAGCTATGAAAACTATCTAGGACTGACTGCAATTAAGATTGCATCTACAAGTATGTATTATGTAAAATGTTTCTTACAAATCTATGTAACTCACATTAATGTTTTTGCCACTGTTCTCAGATATTCCATCTTTCTTATGTATTGTTTTTCTAAAAAAAAAATAACACTGACTTTTAACATCTTGGGGTTTCAATTGATTTTGTACATGTGTGTGTATGAAGGAGATGATAAACAGTCAAACTAGTTACATGGCGATCCCAAACAGCTGCCAAATCAAATCTTTAGAGGAAGTTCAGAAGTTCTCCAAACAACACACAGCTTAATGCCGAAGTAAGTAGCACGTCATTCTATCTTCAATGAAGTTTTTTAAAAAACTTCAGCCAGTTTCTTTTGTATATAAAATATTTTGTTTCTTTTGTATATAAAAAGCATCCTTTTTCAAATCATTACCTTGGCCTGTCAATTGCTGTTCTCCTTTTGTTACTTTTGCTATCTAGTCAGATGAAATTTGCTCTATACTTGTTATTCCTTCATTAGCATCTTTTTTTTTCTATCAGCAATTTTTGTCACTTCACTGGGGACAAAAATTAAGCTCAGTTTTGCCTGGTAAACACCCAGATAAAAGATTTTAAGGGAAGAGATTAGGAGAAAGACTCAGGTTATTAATGGAGTGGTCCCAATCCAGTATAACTAAGGGTAGTTTGCAACACAATCATTCCTTTAGTGATCATTTGAAATTACAATGGTACTGAAAAAAGTGACCAATTATGACCAATTTACATACTTGCGACTGCCATAGTTATGATCATCCCTGTGGTCACATATTCACTGGATGGCCGTGTGATCAAAATTGGACACTTTCCAATTAGCATGTATTTATGACAGCTGCACTGTCCTCAGGTTATGTGATCACAATTTGTAACTTCCCAGCCAGCTTCCTACAAGAAAATGGGGGAAATCAGATTTGCTTAACAATCACATGGTTCACTTAACAGTTGCAATGAATTGCTTAACAATTGTGGTAAAAAAAATCATTCAAATGGGGCACAACTCACCTAACAACTGACTTGCTTAGCAATGTAAATTTTGGGCTCAGTTGTGGTCTACTTGTAAATATAATGCATGGGATGATTTCCCTGATACTGTATATAGAATAATAGAGTTGAAATCTACCATACTATTCAGCGCAGGACCCATTCGAACATTTCAGACAAATGACCACTCAGACTCTAAATATCTACAGAAGGGGTCCTCCAACTATGATCCACCAAAGACATTAATCCAGCCCACACGGGACCACAAGGCTGCCTCATCCACATCACCCTTTCCACTTCTGGCCCACACCCTTTGACCAAGCACAGGACTTTGAGGCCTGCAGGCTTGAACTGGAAGGTAAGGCAGAATCCTACTGGAGGCAGGGGAGGCAAAAAAAAGGGCCTGTTTTTGGTCACCAAAATGCTTCTGGAGGCCAGGGAGGCCAAAAATGGGGCACACTGAAGCTGCAGGAGTACTGGATTGGAGGAGAAGGACCACCCACTTGCTCACCCGCTGACTGGACTAGTCTTCAAGTTTCAAGCGAAAGAGATAGTATGTTTGGGGAGATCACAGGATTGCCCTGCCACCCCGCTGGCCAGCTGGTCTTCAGCACGCCGCTGGTAGGCATCCGGACGTCAGTTTCCCACTATCCAGCATCAGTTCAGGGTTTCTTCCCCCCACAAAAGGACAGAGAGAGAGAGACAGAGAGAGGGAGGGGACAAAGAGAGAGACAGAGAAAAAGTGCACCCAGGTGGAAGAGCTGCTCCAGGATGACCAAAAGGTTAGTCCTGTTACTACTACAGCTCTGGAATATGGGACTAATGTGTAGTGAGCCTGGAAATCTCTGCCATAGGGAGTGGCACATGCAATGTGCAACTTTGTAGGTGGTACAACATGCAAAAAGAAGTGCAGCCTTCATCAGCCAGAATGAGGCAGTGGTGCTGTTGCAGCAGGGGTGTGTGGCCCAAGCGGTCTGAAGCGGCGGTGGTGATGGCTGGAAGATGTGAGTGTGAAGCGCTATGTGAGCATTCCAAATACCATGTAGAATCAAATCAGAATCNGCTTATTTTGGGGGTCAAAAGAAAATAAGACCCTGTCTTATTTTGGGGAAAACACGGTAGCACTATAACGTCTCCCATAGTCAACTGATATACGCACCAATTACATAGTCATAAAAAGAACAAATACAAAGAAAAGTACAAACATTGATGGTACAGATATGCAGAAGAAGGATGATATAAACTTTGAACCTCAACTCAATGGTAAGACTTTCAAGATGCCAACTAGAGAAACTAGGATTATGAACAATAATGATGAACCTATAAAATGCTTGCTAAATACCACAACATTTTGGGTGACACTTGAGCATCCACCAATACCCAACTATATTCTTAAGTATCCTTGTATGCTCTTCTCATGTGATTTTTGGTGGCTGAAAAAGCACCTGAGAATGGGTTGGGGTTTTAAGTGACTTCTGAATTCTCTGGAAGTCATTTTTCTGTAGTTTCTGTAGTCCTTGAAAATCAAATGAGAATGGGTATGCTTGTGCAGTTTTCAGAGGCTGCGCAATGTTCTAAGTTAGAAAAATCCTCCATATTTCTTGTAGGTGATTGCTCCTGAATCCAAATCTAGCATCAGTACCTCAAATTGCAAAGATCAAGGATTTCTTCCATTTTTCTGCTGGTTGGGTCAAAAGTCACCCAGTTTTATGGAGTTCTGTCAATCCTAAAGGGTTAGAAGTGCAAGAGTCTTGTAACTTGAGAGCTTTAAGACTTGCAAAATGCCAGAGTTTCTGAGCCAACATTTTGGTTGCTAAGCAAGAGTGTTGTTAAATGAGTTTCACCACATTTTACAAGTTGGCCACGCCCACCCAGTCACATGGCTGGCAAGCTGCTCCCACCCAGTCATATGGCTGACAAGCCACTCCCACAAAGCAGGCCACACCTACAGAAGAGGTTCTAAAACATTTTGAAACCCACCACTACACTGCTGCTACATTGGGGAATAATTGTCCAGTAAACAACAGCTGGAATGCTTGAAATTGCTTATGGAGAGAAGATTATCTGGCCTACACCCAGTTTGTGAATTGCAATGGCATGATTGCTGTTACTTTTTGAAACACACAAATCTTACTATGTATGTTTGTAGAAACAGGATAAGGACCAAGGACAATAAACTTAGTATAATTAAATTACTTTTTCAGACATTGCTGCTAAGTTCATAGAATATAAATAAATAGGCAAAGGACTTTGTAATTAATCTGGGTTTAGCATAGAGACTTTGCTAAATTAGAAGCTGCCAAAATAATATTCATGTGCCACCTTTCTTTAAATGTAGATGTGTCAGTGTTTCATAAATACTGTATATTGTTGGAATTTTATTGATTATTTTCCCAATTTCTAGAAACATCATATTGTCTCCTTTATTAGAACTACTAAGTATATTTGATTGGCATGGTAAGTATAATCTAAACCAGTGGTCCCCAACCTTTTTATCGCCGCGGACCAGTCAGCCTTTGATAATTTTACCGTGGCCCGCTGAGCGCGTCGATGACCAGCGCTAGTAGCGTAGCCTTGCGCAGGCGCAGTTCAGTATGGCTAGCGTAGATAGCATAGCACAAACTGCGCCTATGCAAGGCTACGCTACTGGCGCTGTCTACGCTAGCCCTACGTAGCTGCGCAGGCGCTCTTAGGTTTTTTTCAGGAATCGGCCGGCCGCTGCAGCGATCATGGCCCCCGGCTGCTGCAGCGATCATGGCCCCTGGCTGCTGCGCGGCCCGGTGCCAGGTACTCCACGGCCCGGCACCGGTCCGCGGACCGGGGGTTGGGGATCACTGATCTAAACTGTAAAGCTAAAGGGAAGCAAGAAAACCAACTAACAAGTTTATTGTTTTCATTTCCATTTCTATGGTCCCTATTACTGTTTTTCCAACTTGCACCAACTGAAATATGCCATTATCATTTGTTGAGATCTTCTATAGACTTTCTTCTACTGTTCTTATCAGAATGTAATGCATGAAGTGAAAACAGGAATGGATCTCACGCAGTTTCTTCTCCATATCAGTCGTGCAATAATCAAAGAAACAGAAAGCAATATCTTTGCTACAGAACAAGTTGCATCTTTTTCTATATGTAGCTTTCCGTGATGCATGCCTTTTCATATGCAACTGAATAAACATATCTTTATACATCTTTGGAATTGACTACACTGGGCATTTATCTGAATTTTGCAATCTGAGCAACAAATTTAAAAATAACTTATTTATAAACATTGATCAGATAAATTTCTCAACTCATTCTTAGGTTTAAAAAAAATCAAAATATTAAGTTAAAGCACACATGTATTGTTTATATACTTTTAGTGTCACTCCTGAAAAGGTTTTATTACATTTATGTCTAATAAATGTACTTGAGAGACTGCCTGCTGCCAATTACCTCCCAAAGACCCATTAGATGACACAGGGTTGGCCTCCTCCGGGTTCCGTCTACTAGCCAATGCCACCTGGCTACTACCCGGGGGAGGGCCTTCTCTGTGGCAGCTCCAGCCCTCTGGAACAAACTCCTCACAGGGATTTGGACCCTCACCTCTCTCC